CAAATCTGAACACCAGACTGCTCTCAGTGGTGTAAGCGAATCCAGCACTACTAATATTCTTGCTATTATGACTGACTGTTAAGGCTATGTTTTAGTTTCCAAAACTTATGTCAGAAGGTGGTTGTATCCAGATTTCTTCTATGCTTGAAGATCTATAGAACTGTCTCCTTTTAGGAGGAGGAGGCGGCCCTTTTTTCAGGGGGCAGGGTGATGCTTGTGTAAATTTGCACGGGGTCAGACCTTGGCTGGCCTTTGGGCCTCCAAGCCTAATGGTTTGCTGTACAGATGTTGTCTAGGATGTATAGGGGCCATGGGCTAAAGCAACAAAAGATGCTGTTTTGATGCAAGTGTTTGTATAGATGTAGGATGCTTTTATACAGAAATAAATCAATTTCTACTGAGGAGCAAAATTGTTTGGAACGGAAAGTACAAAACAAATCTCTGTGGAGGTTGTAGCTAAAGCCAGCACCTGGTTTGCCATTTGTCTCTACATTTTCATTGCTTTTTGCATGGGCCTTTTGTTTAATATACTTATTTTCCCTAATTCCATTAAATATGCTTTGATGATGCTGACCATACAGAATTTTCTGAGGTATGATCTGTACAGGGAAATAAAGGACTTTATTTTTTTTAATCTGTGGCTTTAGTTCTTGCTTAATAATAATTGCTAAGGATATCCCATTAGTGTCTGACAAAGGATATAGTTGATTCAAATTCTTTCTAACGTGCAGTAACTTAACTGATTTGTGTCAGTTTCTACTTTGTGACATGGTATCACCCCAATAACTGTCTTGCTGATAACTTTTGTCTTTTGGAAGTAGTAAATTTGTAGTGTGTTTTCTGTTATTTCTTGGTCTTCCAATAGTTTTGATAAATGAGTATCTATGAACTGTACGTGTCTATTTTTATTTTTTTAGGTACTTCATGGGAACAACTCAAAAATGATTGGGGGAGACAATGCTGAGGGAATTTTAAAATATGATTTATTCATTTTAAATCAAGACTTTGACTCTTTTTTTCTTTTTTTTTTTATATAGGCTTCCTATTTGGCATGTCTTTTGTAAAGACAGTCTTTCATCAACAGTGCAATATGCTTCAGGTGATGCTTGTGCCCTGGCAAATAATGATGAAAATGTCCAAGAAAAGGTATGCTGAATAAATCATGTTAATCAGCTACTTAATTGGCTTGACAGTATATAAAAAAAAAAATTGATTTATACACTTTGAATTAATAGTGTTTTGGACAGAATATTTAATATACTCAGTTGTTCTGTGAACCATGCTGTTATCTTCCCAAGTTTTTGTTTTCCTTTACTTCAAATTTGTTCCTGTTATGTGACAATACAGCTGGATGGTGTGTGTTGGGGTGGGAAGAAACAAATAGTAAAGCCAGTAATGGTGGCTCAGGTTTTTTATTTGCGTGCCAGATGACAGAAGAAGTGGTCATCAGGGGTAGTATGTGGCTGTGTAGAGACCAGGATAACAGCTGGTGGCCTGGATAAGTCTAGGCCACAATATGCCAATTGCATCTGTGTTGTATTGAAAACCCAGTGCACAAATGATTGCTCTCCTAAATAGAAGATTTAAGATTAATTAGAAGTCTTCAAGACCAGGCTGGATGGGGCTTTGAGCAACCTGGTCTGGTGGGAGGTGTCCCTGCCCATGGCAGGGAGGGTTGGAACTCGATGATCTTTAAGATCCCTTCCAACTTAAACCATTCTATGATTAAGTCTGTATTTATCAGTTCATTTTCCTCCTTTTTAATAAAAATTAACAAAGTTAAAATACATATATGAAAAGCTAATAAACAAGATTTTTTCCCTTTCTTATTTGACTCAACACTTTAGGTTAAATTGAGTGTAATTCTCACCCTAATCAACTCATTACAAGTTTCTGCATATTGCAGTTTCATAGTGAGTTCCCAAGCAGTTGAGTCATATCAGAAAGTCATCGCATTTTCATTTATTTACACAGGTAAAGAATCAGCCCTAAGATAAGCATGGGTAGTATTGATGTTATTGGTCTTCCTATTGCCTCTATCAATCAGTAGTAGTGCTAATCATGGTTCTCGCTCCAAGAAAGCTTTTATATGCCATATCAAACCTGGAAAATGTGTTGAGGATTCTAGTTGACTCAAATGGAGAGCTGCCTGACCAGAAAAAAAATACTTTAAATAGTGTGGGTTTCTTAAGCATTTCAACATCTAGGGTAACTGTATTTTTTTGCCAGCTTGTGTGGCCAAATAGCATTCAGTTCTAATCTTCTGGCTACCTGAAAAAAAATCCTGCTCGAGTTTAGTGGCTGATGTAATAAACCAGGAAAGATCAAGTAAGCTTTGAGACTGAGCAGCCACTGGTGTATGTTTTCCTACCTTTTTGCAACGTCTTCCCTTCATTCTAGTAAGATGGCTGCCTTGTTAAGCAGATTTCTCAACTTAAAACCAAAGATGTGAAGTATACTGTACTTTTTACTCATTAAAGAAAAATCTCTTGGGTGTATAAGAAATCTTCAGCATGTCTATTACTCCTAACTAGGCTGCTGGAGATGTACTGCTCAAAAAGAGCAATCCTGCAGCCCTTGGTCAGTTTTCCTTTGATCACTTGTCCCTCCGAGGCATTGATGCTATTTAATCTTACAGACTAAGATGTGAGTTAATAATATTTTGGGAAAATGTTGCTTAGCTGTTGTCTTTAAGATTTGCCAGCTCGAATTTGTACTTCCTGCTCTTCCAGTGTATACGTTAACTATCTCAAATTGATATGGTCATGTAGTCTTGTATAACACAGCGACCCATTTTAGATCTGAACACTACCACTGCTAGTGTTTGGCTACAGAATTTTAGGTAGCCCTTTTAAGACGAGGGATGTGTAAATTCCTACTAGATTTCTTGCTGTATTTTAAAGTATTGCTCAAAAATAACTTGCAAATGTTGCTGTCACAACTTAAAAAAAAGTTTGAGGTGCAAGTAAATTCTTGTTCTATGGTCTGGTGGTTTTAAAACATTTTTTCTCAAAAGTGTATTTTTTTTTTTTACTTTGTGAATTCACTGTGCTTGATTATAAATCTTTAGTTGTAAAAGAGAAAGTTGCTTTAAAAAGTTACTGCAGACTTGTGAAATTATTCTAGTTCTGCTGATAAGACTGATATAACTGAAATGTGCTGAGTGTTATTTTTTTAGTGGTGGTCTGTTGCAATTCATCTTAGGATTTCCCCCCCCTCCTGTTTTGGGCAGCATGGAGATAGGGAGCATTTGTCAACATGGGAAGTCGCAGCAGAATGATTAACTTCCTTAGCACACAAACTGAATGATTTAAGACAATGCTAAAATGGTCTTTCCTGTGAAGATTTAACTGACCTGTTTTAATTTGCTGTAGTCTTCGTACAGATGAGATTTTAAACATACATGGGCAGTGGCTCTGAAGATTCACGTAGCTTAACTTCTTGTGGATATTTTGTGGTTGTAAAGGTAGTGTTATTCAGCCTGTACTGAAGGTAACTCCTCTTACTAGAATAGAAGGCCTGTGTTACTGCATACTTACTGTTGTTTTACCTTTAATATACTAGGGGGAAGAGGCTGTTCCCAGACTGGAGTCTGAGCATGCAGACTCAAGTACACAGAGTTACTCTACAGAAGAGCTGCTTGATGACTTCACAAAATCTGGCCAGGCAAGACTTTTATTTCATTCATTGTCTCCATACTCTCTTCAAATGTTTCTTGGATTTCAGAGTCTTTCATTTTGGTTATCTAAAGCTCATAGTAAAGATCTATCGCATTCAACTTGCACGTAGGGTTGCTGTCAGACTCATGTTTCCAATGAAGGATAAAATGTGTGACCTAACATCATGCAATTCCCGTGTGCATAAGTAATAAGAGTAATTTAATGTATGTAGGTACTAACTAAATAAATATTTCCAAGATAAATTAAAATTTGATGTTATAGGTATGGATTTCTCTTTATAATTTAAACATAAAAAAACCTTCTCACTGAGGTCACTTGTACAGATCAGACTTGGTGATTGTAGCAGTCAATTTTAGCTTTGATCCTTCCTGGCTTCTGTCAGTTTCATTTCATTTATTAAAATGGAAGAAGTGCCATTGATAACATTAAGTCAGTGCTTGATGTCAAATGTTACAAAGCCCACTGTTATAGATTATTTATTTGATATGTATTTTGGGGTTTTGTAGATTACAAGACAACATATGTGGGACATACTTCTGAATATATATTGCATGGTTTAGATATGTAATTCTGTACTAAAACATTCTAGACCTTTTCATGTTCAGCTAGATGACTTGGAGCAATCCAGCTATTGACAAGAGGCTCTTGTTTAATAGTATTTAATGGTATTTAGTATTGTTTAATAATGTTGCTGAAGAGTTAATCTGATTTCATTCAGTTGTTATGTACTCTTCCAGATTTGGAAAGCCTTATTTTGATTATGCTGTGCGAGGGCTTATGAAAAATGAAGAACTAGAATAAATAGGGCTCAAGACTACTAGAGTTTCAGAAGTGATAAGTGATTTATCTCTGTGTTCAGTTACAACATGGAATAGACTTGTAAATCACTTTGGACCTCCATTGCAGTGGTAAAATTGAAAGCCTCCCCCAAAATTAAGCTTAGGATGAAAACAGCAAATGTAAATTTTGTTGTAATGGAGTGTGCAAATAGAACTGTTTATTTCAGTTGCTAAAATATTCAGGCTTGTTTTCTTGTGGCTGTATAGAGAGATGCATGGTTGAGGAAGCTGTTTTTACAATATTATTATAGGCTACGGAAGAGCACTGCAACTATCCCAAAGTAGCACTGAATACCACCTAAGTTTACGAAGAAAAAATTTATTTCTTAACTGTCTTGCTCTTTGGTTTTCAGGTTCATTGATGACAAAAATCTAAACTACTGAACTGTGAAAACTCGGTAGTAGACATTATTGTCTAATGCTTTTCCTATTCAAGTTTTGAAAAACATGTTTACCTGTAATGTTTTCACAGATTACAGAAATGAGTGAAGCAAGCCAGCCTGAAGTTGAGACTCCACCTTCAGTAGATTTAAATGAAGCTTCTTCTAGCATAGTTGCAAGCACTGAAAACATTTCCAGTTCACCTACCTCAGAGATACCTCCAGCCTCACAGCCTGAGTAAGCGTTTTTATTTTATTGTTTTGGTCTTTGAGAGAATATCACTTACTCTGTTGTTAAAAGGGTTACCTTTTCAGGTTTAGTAGGGATAAGACTAGACTGCTACACGCTATTTTTTTGCTGTGCTTAGGTTTATGGTGTCAATGCTAATGGAATATACTATCTTTTAGTCAGTGCGTGGCTTGAGTTGTGTACTTCCCTGAAGTGTCATAGTATTGCCATTGTCAGTTTCTAAGCTGCTTTGACAGAAAAAATCCAATGCCCTTTATGTGCTAGATAATCTGTACTATAAAAGCCCTTAGGTCTTTACCATTAGGATTTCTGTTCTCTATTCTTTCCTTCTGTCCTTGTTCACAAATGTGCTTTCACATCTGTGATAACAAGCATCAAGGCTGCTTCAGTGATGGCCTCTGGCTTCATTAAAGGAACTTTGCAGGATTTTACTCCAGGATGTGTATCAGAGCAGTTTTAAATTAGTTCTGATATTGAGAGTTTTGATGAAATAACAAATTTTAGTACAAAAGCAGCCAAGACAGTTTATAATTCTGGTACTTAGTAGTGTGTTGCAGAGCTACCTCTGCTGCAGGCAGTCTTGAAGAGTTGATGTGCTTAGTTTTGTTTCCCTTGTGGAATGCTGTGTTATCAAATGTGAACAGTAGTATGGAAATTAATGCGTATATACTTCTAGGTACTTTAACTTCAGGGCTTTTTAATATATGCTAAGGGGAATATATTATTTTGATTGTCTGCTGGTAAAGATCTAGTATTTTGGTAGATAAAGATTTATGAAAAATGAAGTGGTCTTCTCTTGTTCTTCGGTGGTTTGGGTTTTTTAAGAGTCCAGTTTTTCTGGTTTACTGAATTTAGTTTCTTTACCATAGAAAAGGTCTGGAAATCTTGTCTGCTGACTGATTTTTGTCTAGTCTGCTAGGGGTAAAGCTTAAGCATCTTTTGGTACTTCATAAGTGTCTTAATTGCAAGTCTTGGAAAATGAAGCTTCCCATATTCACAGGTTTTATAAAGTGAAACTGGAATGTTACTTCAGTGTGTTTCTTTTTATAGCTTTTGTTGACTACTGTACTGTTTTGTTTGTGAAACATACTGCAAGTCCTACTGTTGTCAGGTCTTAGAAGGAGATTCAGGATCTTATTGTGATTTGAACATTCAGCGTGGTATCTTGTTATTTTTGAAAATAGTCTTGCTGTCTCTGAAGACTCAAACTATGAAACAAATGAAAATGGAAGCTTGGTTTGGAGCACCTGATATATTAATGCTTGGCAGTAGTGTTCTGACATTGGTACCATTTACAGGATGAAAGGGTAGAATGAGCATAGAGATACGTATTTATACACTATTTCAAACTTCAGTTTAGCTTTAAATAATAATAGGTGGTCTCTTTTGTGCAGATTAATATCCAAAACAGTTAACAAGATCTTTAAAAAGACTCAGTTGCATTTTTTATCTTTAGACATCATATTTGCTGTTTTAGATACTGATTCCTATCAGTGTGACAAAGTCCAGCTCCCCTAGGTGTTACCATTCTGATATTCCAGCAGGATCTCTTAGTCAAAATATTCTGGAATTAATTTTGTTCCAAACTATTTTTACTTTGTAATGAATCTCTTTTTAGAACGGCACTGGTTTTAGCTATCCTATCCAGACCTAATCTGTGGAAAGCGTCTTGAAAAATAATCTGAGCTCCTCTTCTGGCTGCAAGTAAAGACAGCTGCCATGCAAAGTGAGCTTGAGAATGCACTTTAAAAAATAAAGCTACTAACAAATGAAAATATCCAAAAGAGAGGGAGCCCTACAGCTTTTAGGCTTGTGCTACTCGCCTTATGCCAAAATTAGTTACTTGAGGCTGGTCAGGTACACCCTGACATCAGGGTATTTTTAAGTTCATACTTGTCCCATATTTTATTCAGTTGAATAGTTATTCATACTGTCATCTGTCCACTGAGATCAAGAATATGTGGAGCTTTTTAATTTTAAGTGTAGTGATCGACCTTACTTCAGTCGTTAAAGTGTTACATGCAGAGCTAAACTGTGTGCATCTTGGATGTGTATGTTTTGAGGCATTCAGAGAAAGTATTCCCTGTTTGTAGCCAATAAATTCTTGTATTTGTAGCGTTTTGGGCTTTGCAACATAGCAAAAAGTCTTGAATACTTATGAGTTTCTTGTTTTATGCTGTGGGAAGTTTTATAATATGACAGGTCTAAAATTGGCTCCCTGTGTTTGGTATGGCTCCTTCTGTTGATGATTGTAGCAGTCAGGGAACCAAAAAGATGCCCTTTTAAGTTGCCAACGTGCTGTTTGTGGTTTTGCAGCTCTATATCATGATACTGGATTAACCTAGTTTGCTGCTGATGTTGAAGAAAGCTTATGTTGAAACTTAGGAGGCAGAATAGAGAATAGGAGGCAGAACTCGTTTATAACCTTCTAGATCAATATGAAAGTAATCCCTGTACTAGAGAAGGGAGGAAAGTCACAGAAGTTATTTGTCCATCTTCTCCCCGTGCATCATTCTTAAAGAGTGTATTAAAGAGGCTTTCTTTTCATTTTTTGCCATAGGTTTTGTCTCATGCAATGCATTCAGTCTTTCTGGGAGTGAGGAAGTAAAGCAGTGGGCAGATTAGCTAGTTTGGGCTGTTGATACAGGTTGGATAATGGTCTACTGGGTTACCTCATTTTTATTACACTAGTGGAAAAAGAAAAATCTAGTGGAAACGAAGTCTGGCTGGCTCTACTGTATATCGTTATGCCACACCTTTTCTTTCTGGTTTTTAGCCAAGTTCTGTTGTGACCGCTGCCCATTGACTTGGGAAAATTAAGAGCTTTTAGTGATGGTACTTAGTCTTGTGCTTGATTCCTTTGTTGAAGGGGATAAGAAAATTGCTGGCAGTCAGATGAAGCTGTTCTTAGTTTGTAGTGATGGGAAAGATCATCCATTGCAGTATGGTAAGATGTTAGATGAGAGATCTGGGAGATGTGGGAGATGAGAAGCTAGCTTTGAGTTCCTTTGCTGGGACAAATAGGCTGGAAAAGGAAATTCTGTTCTTGCATGGGTACAGCTGAGAGTGCAGTTCCACAAGTATAGAGTACTTCATTCCTCTTTTCTTAATTATGTCTGTGAGACTGTTGCTTTTTAAAAAACTTTCAAATATCTTTAGTTATGTGGTTGATTATCAGGGTTACTTGTATTATCAGAAGGGTAAAAAAAGCATGTTATTTCTTTCCCTTCAGTGCAATAGAAAATTCCCGTGCTGATACCCCTGTAGTCAGCTCTAGTGAAGCTGAGCAGTCAGAACCTGACTGTGATATTGGTGGGACACTTGAGGCTGACCCTCAGAGTGAGCCTTCCTCTTTTGTCAGTCCACCAGAGAGGTGAGTATTGAAGTAGGTTGTGAGTGTGAATAATTTAAAGGTAACTCTTCTTTTCTGTCCTGGCCTTGCAACAAACATTTGCATGTGCTTGCTTATCTACCTATTTGTGTCTGTTTAATATTGCATATGGCTGAAAATGTGATCATTTTGTAGGTCGTAATACTCTTAAAACCTTCAGCCTTGCAGGTCAACATATAGAGAACATATCATCCTCGCATGGCAAAGGAAAGAAGACAAAATCTGAGTTTGAGTCGAAAGTTTCAGCAGCTGAAAAAGGGGCAGATGAGCAAAAATCTGCTCTGAACGCCTCGGAGAACTTAAAAAGGGAGGTAAGCAGTGCTGATATCTACTCAGTACACACAGAAGCGTAATGACCTCTGTTAGCTTCTCACCTTTGTTAAAGATGAGTGATATCTGTCACATTTCTGATTGCCACTGTATAAATGCGCAGCCATTGCATTTTGAGCACTCAGTGTAGTTCTGATATTGCTGTCTCAATAAGGGTATAATGAACTGGAAGAAAAGGGCAGCAAGGTTGATTCACAGAATCACAGAATTTTCAGAGTTGGAAGGGACCTCTAGAGATCATCTAGTCCAACTCCCCTGCTAAAGCAGGATTGCCTAGAGCATATCCCTCAGGACTGCATCCAGGCGGGTTTTGAAAATCTCCAGAGAAGGGGACTCCACAACCTCCCTGGGCAGCCTGTGCCAGTGCTCTGTCACCCGAACTGTAAGGAAGTTTTTCCGTGTGTTGGAACGGAACTTCCGATGTTCCAACTTGCACCCATTACTGTTGGCACGGAACAGTTTTTTCTGAGCTAAGTCTCTTGAAATATTTTTGGGAAATCAAATAAAATTATCTGGAGCAGAATCCAGAAGAAATGTTTGTCCTGTAACAGTTAAGTTGGGATTTCCTGTAGGATGCTGTAGATGATGAATTTTTTTACATAGGTTTCAAAAAAAAAAAAAGAGAGGGTGGGTTGCATGGTCCAGGTAAGTTTGTAGAAGAGAAGTATGTGGGTTGAATCTTGACTGAGTCAGGAAGTTCCTGAGTAGCAAGCAGATGGCTAGAGGCAAAAATGACATTTGGAGGAAATGAAAAAAAAAAAAGTTTTGTGTGGTTTTATTCTTTCCTAGGTATCTTGTTTGGCCACTGTTAAAGTGGGATACTTAGCTAGACAGGTCTTTTATACTTAATTGTATGACTGCTTTTATGTTCTTACTGTGAGGTACTTCCCAAAGCTTATGTTTTTTAAATGGGTAAAGAATGACCTAGGCCATGGCAATACAATTTTTTGCTATTTCAGGATCACATTTAAACTGTCACTAATAACTTGAATAACTCTCTCTTAAAACTGAGAAGTTTTTCTCAAGATTATGGAACAGAGTACAGTGTGTCTTAAAATAATTACATGCAGTCAGGAAGAGTCTTCTAAAGAACTTCCTACAAACAAATTGGTGTAAACCATTATTAAAAAAAAGTCAAGACTTCCTTTATTTAACCTAATGCTTTTAAGACTGCAATTTAAATAATTACGTCATTGGCCTGATGTCATGGTTAAGAGCATGATTTGGCATTGCTTACTCAGTCAGATTTTGACTTACCACTTTTGTCATAGCCTAAGGAGGATCTAATACCCTGAACTTTCTTGGGAGAGGAAGATATGGGGGGTTTTTAGGTCCTCTCACTTCTAAATATATGTGGGGATATAATTTTGTGTACGCCACATCTAAAGTTCTGTCGCGGTGCAGTCATGGAAAATTCTGATGTCACTCTTGTCCAAATAAGTGGGTTTGGTGTTTTTTTGAGGGCTTTCAGCTATAGAACTAGATGTGAAATAATTCTTGCTTTAAGTGCAGAGAAAATGTCAACCTACAAAGCAGTCATTCTGGAAACTACCTGTAAAATGTTGTCTACAAAAGAACCTCTACGGTTGAAATGGTATAGCATATGGTTAACTTAAAAGGGTTGCTGCTTTGCCAGGCAGGTCCAAAACATGATTTATTTGATTATTAAATGTTAAATAAAAGATTTTAAAATAATATCTAATTCTGCTAGTTTTTGAGGTGTTCAGAAACTCCAGGGGACCTCTGGAGTTCTGTTGTGACCAATGCTAATATTTGAAGATTTCTGCTACAGGGAAAACTTTTCTCCTTAGGACGAGGAAAAGCAAAATTCTTGAAGAAAAAGCAGACCTTTTATGAGACAGAATGCTTATGTTTTACTTAAAAAGTATTAGTTTAGCCACAAAAATTACCAGTATCTCAGCAAAAGAATCTGTGATTCTGGGAGGAAATAATCACATGTGTTTTCTGGCTTGTGAGATTACCTAGGCACTAAGTTTTTAACATGGGTCCAAATGAAGTATCTGCTATTAACTTGGTGAGACCATGCTTGCTTTTTTTTTTTTTTCCCCCAAGCACTGAAGTTCATCTTTGTTTTCATTGTTGGTGCTGAAAAATATTCAGAATTGGTGGTCGCTCTTTTGCAGAAAGACTACAAGAAAACAGGGGAAATTGACCCTACATCAGTGATAACTCCAAAGGACCCTGGAGACATTCCAACATTTGATGAATGGAAGAAGAAAGTCATGGAAGTTGAGAAAGAAAAGAGTAAGTTCAGGATTCATTCGTTTGGTCTAAATAGAGACCACTTTTGTCTTGTGTCAGATTTGAATAGTGAAACTGTCTCAATTTGGAATGCAGCCTGGAACATCATTTTTCTACTAGAACTACATAATTAATAGCACTTATTATGTAGAAGCAATGAGCGTAAGTTCCCTGAAAGTGAAAATACTGTTTGTGGTTTGATATAGTATCAATGTTCTTGTTCCTAGGTCAGTCAATGCACCCTTCTGCTGTTGGTGGGCAGCATTCCACAAAAAAAGTCCAGAAAAATAGAAATAACTATGCCTCTGTAGAGTGTGGTGCCAAAATTTTGGCAGCAAATCCAGAGGCAAAGGTAAGCATTTACTAATTATTACTGTACATTATTTCAGTTTACTCTTACACAAGAAGTAGTACGAAGTACACATAAAACTGAACACTGATGTCTGAAGTAATCCTTTATTTCTATGTTTGTGTTTATTGTGATTTTTCATTTCTAAAAATGGGACATAAACTGTCCCTTTTTTAAGAGGGATTGCTATAGAGAAATTGATGTCTTTTCATGTGAATGTGGAAGGGGGAGTGGAGTCTACTCGGTACTGAAATCGAACAACTGAACAAAGTTGTATTAAACAGCTCACGATAGTAATAATTTGCTATTTCCCCAGAGTAGTATGGGATAATATCTCCTGTATATTATCTTCCTTAGAATGTTGTGAAACTTGGTATTAGTCTACATAACTAATGTAAAACCGATTTTCAGAGCGGGGGGAAAAACCCTTGGTGCTGCGTTAGTATGTACCACAGTTTAAAATACTAATTCTCTTCTTTATACAGAGCACTTCGGCTATTTTGATGGAAAATATGGACCTTTATATGCTAAATCCTTGCAGTACTAAAATCTGGTAGGTTACTGAGGTTTGTTTGTCTGACAGGAGGGGTTATGGTTTTCCATTTTGATGGGACTGTAGGTATCCTGTGAGACTGACTTATCTTTGGTGTGTCTCTGCCTGAAATTTGTGTGTAAGGAACTTTGACAGATTTAGCACTAGATGCTTTATTATGTCCCCAGTAGAATTCTGTCTCTGGTATTGAGAAGTAAGATTAAGGGGATAACTTTATTCACTTCATAATTATGCAAAACCTACAAATCCTAATCTTACAGAAGGGAAAGCACTGAGTGTTCAAGTAAAGATTTTGGTTTCTTTCCCCAGCTGTCAAATAATTATAGGACATATGATTAGAATTTACCATATACTAACTGGTATTTCAGGTGTAGTTTAAATAATGTTTGGTATCCTTAGTTTTTAGTTCTGTGACTCCTTGCCTTTGAGTACAAGATGGATGAAGCTTTTGTAGCTGCAGGTGCTATCTAGAGTTAATAAGCTACATACTCAGGTAACTATCACTAGTGATTTTGAAGGGAGCAACAAGTGGCATCTCCTTATTGTACAGTATTTTTATAGTGTTCTTTTATACCTAGTGAAGGATGCAGTAGCAAGGTAAAGGACTGAGGATTGACATCGTAGAAGGAAAAGTGCTTTTTTTTTAATATTTCCTTTTTGTCTTAAAGGTTTGTTATTGAGCTCTGTGAACCAGTCCAAGTAAAGCAGCTTGACATTGCAAATCATGAATTATTCTCTTCCACTCCAAAAGACTTTCTGGTGTCTATTAGTGACAGGTATGTTATCAAAACCCACCCTTCTGAATGAAAAATGAAATAATAATTGTGAAATGAATGGCTTCATAAAACATAGTCTGTGTATGCCTCTTAATGTGCAAAGTGTAACACATTGTGAAATTACATGGATTTTCTTTGGGTATTGTCAGTTAATAGCTTTTTGCCTATGGAAAAGGGAACTGTGAGGGCCTAGAATACATGGCTTGAGTTCTTTCTGTGCTTCCTGTGTTTTTTTTCCTCTTTCCCACCTTAAAAATGAAAAGGAAAAACTTGTTGAAAAATAGCAATGAAGCAGCAGAAATCATACAGCAGCTAGGTAGTGGATGGCAGATTATAAAATGAGCATTTCTTAACAGAATGCCACTGGGGTTGTGGGCTGTCTCGTCCCTTGTCATTCAGACCATTTTCTCATGGCTTAAGCTGTCTTCAGTGCTGAACTCTGTCCAAACCTATCCGAATTATTTAAAAAGAGGAAAAAATAATAGTAGTACACCAATGAGGAACTGGAAGGGGTAAGAATACTACTGGTTGGCCGAATAGCTGGTTAAAGGGTGGCTTTATCATGTTTTAGGCAATCTTGCACCCCCACTGCTTTCTGGGAGTGAGCAGATTATTCTGGTATGTGAAAGAGGAGACGTTCACACAGTGCATCAAAAAACCTCACTTTCTTCTTCAGCGCTTAAAGCGTGTAGATTCTGATTTTCAACACTTGGTCTGTTGCCTAGTTCTAACTCTGCTTTGCTCACAGTTTTTTGGGGTTTTTTTTTGAGCTTATTTACACTAATATTTACAATCTGTCACTTGTGTAATGTTCTTCAGTGTTCATCTGAGGTGACTTTTCAGTTCCAGAAACTTTACTGTAGGCTGGCTGCATTTCAGGAATTGGATCCAGTATAGAGTTTTGTCCTTCAAGGGCTTGCACACTGTTTTAAGTATGTGAAGAGGTACTGCTGAGGTTTTGTGTTGGGACTAGCTTTATCTTGCAACTCTTTCCATAAAAAACATATTGCTGCTATCTTGCAACTGAAAAAAAAGTCTTCTGTGAGAAGGTGTTTTGGGAAACTTCAGTAAATGTTTGTAAACAGTGGGTTCTTGCATTTCAGTAGCTGACTCCATTGTTTATTTTCTAGGTATCCAACAAACAAGTGGATTAAATTAGGTACTTTCCATGCCAGGGATGAGAGAAATGTCCAAAGCTTTCCTCTGGATGAACAGATGTATGCAAAATATGTTAAGGTAACTTAACACTGAAAAAGCATCCACGCTTCTCGGGGAAGGAAGGGATGGCTGGGCTTACCTTGTATAACAGAGCATCCAGAGAAATGTATTATCAAAGCATACTTTACCATCAATTATACTAATTTCGTTAGTGGCCCTAGTGTGATTTCCATGTAATAAACCCTTGTCACACAATCACAAGTATGTCACCTTCCTCGTAAAAAGGTAACTGAGAAGATCTTGGGAAGCACCTATTACCTTGTGTCCAAGTACATACTGAGTTGATATCTGAATTAAGAAAAATCCAGACAATGTTCTGTTCTATTTGACTTAACCAACTTCTCCTGAATGTAAGATTAGAAGTATTGACCTATTTTGTCTCTTGGCTGTACCCACTTGATTATATATAAAATATACATACACATATGCACTCCCTGGAGCACAGATTAGAATGTGCATACTTCTTGATACTTTTGTGCTGTATTCTGCTATATAGTTTTAAGTGGATCTGAAAGAGTAAGCATTTGGATTCGAGTCTATTGACGAGAATCAGAAGTGCAGCTTTGCAGTTATTCAGTTGTAATTGCAACTCATGCAAATTATTTAGGCTTACTGCTACTGGAGCACTTGCCATGATCTTTCTGCCTTCAAAATAAGTTGCAGCAAGCTATCGTTACTCAGGAGAATCAGAGAATAAAACTCCATAAATAATGTAGTACTTGGACTGGGATAAAAGCTTTTGTGAAAATACTGGGATGTAGCAGAGGTTTAAATTCAAATAAAATACAGACCTTTAGGTCCTCTCCAGTGATGTGTTATCTTTCAATTATGGTGCTGCCAAAAAAAAAATTTGCTTTGTGCTACTGAATTATGATTTGTGCTTTCATGAAGAAGTAGCTATGAATGATAGTTATCTAACTTCACTACTCAGAAATTCTGCATGAGTCACAGGATAAAGATTTCATTTATTTTTAATTCTGCTTTCTGGCTGAATTAATGCCTTAAGGTGGCTGGAATCTTACTTGTCACTGAAGTTCCAGAATTATACTAGATGCTTCAACACTTAATCCCTTGGTGGATACAGTGTTCTGCCTTGCATAATGTAGCATGGTAAAATTTCTCAAAGGGTTGTTCTTGTAATGTTTTTCTTTTATAGGAGAAAAAGTAAGCAAGTTCTGAGTGTGCCTAGTCTACAAAAGTTTGAGTCCAAAAACTTTTTCAAAAAGTGTGATTTTTTTTGAAATGGCTTAACGAACTTAAAAATAATTGTAAGAGTGCTTTTATGGGAATACTTATCTTGATCTCATGTGCGGATTGTTATAGTCCTTCATTGGTAGTGTCTACATAATGGTTTAATAAATGCATTCTATACTTGCAAATTAATTTAGATTAAATATCAGTGTGTAGTTAAGTTCTCACTAGAAATACACAGATGACTGAAGCTTCCAAATGTATTATCAGATGCTCTATACTTTTTCTTCCTGTAGCATTTCTGTAAATTGAAGCATGTTATATTGAACTTGAGGCAGTGGCAGTACACAGAATGCATGCTATGAAGGGTTTTTTTCCTTTTGAGTCACTTTCTGTAATTGGTGCTCTTTAAGGGAAAAAACTACTCTTAGTAGATTTAACACACTTCAGTATTCTGTCTGCAATCATGCTGCCTGGAAAAATTGAATAATTGGTTAAGTTCATTAATAAAACACTTGTTGCATGTTACCTTCTGTCTGCGAGGCACAAGGGCGAAATGAAATTTTGCTGCCTAAGGCAGATGTAGTAGTAGTGCAACTTTATCCTTCGTAACTTGTCTTCTTAGGCATTTATAGTACTGAATTAAAAACAACACTCTAGTTGCCTGTGGCATGTGTTCAGCCTTTGTACTGACCATCTTTTTTTTTTCTCTTTTCCTTTCTCTCGCTTCAGATGTTCATCAAGTACATAAAGGTTAGCAACCTCTTCTTTTGGAATGATGAATGCATGGGGCTTGGGGTGTTTTCTACTAAGGCTCAGCACTTTAATGCATGGCAAGAACAAATCTTTAAGTCTTTTCTGTTGTGGGCAATCTACAAATCCTTTAAGTAAACAAAACTTGCAATTTTAAGATTGAATGTATATGTTAAATGAACTCTTGACTCTGTGGGTCTCCTGGAGTTTTATTTTAAGTATCTTTTGTTCTCTAGGTGGAGTTGATATCGCACTTTGGATCGGAACATTTTTGTCCTTTAAGTCTTATAAGGTAGTATCTTAAGTGTTTTGTCTTTCTACCTCCTTGCAGTGAGGATTAGTGTGTTGTAGTAATAGATGGGCAACAGATTGTAGTTTCCAGTTTATTTAAGTTAGTTGGAAATACTGTGAATTGAAGTAGTTACCTAACTTACTGGCTGCGTAGCATGCTTCACATCTGCTTAAAAGAAGCTTTGAATCTTTGTATGTGGTTCTCCAGTACGTAAGGAATAGTTTATATTTGCAGGGGAGGTGTTAGGAAACAGGAGCATGAGCAGCCTTATAGGAGGACATGAGCACTTCAAGGCTGACCAAGTGAAAAAAAAAACAACAAGTAGTGAACTAAAAAGAGCAGGTGTGGTGGGTGCTTTTGGGAAGCTGCGGTGTTGCATGGCACCCCAGGTACATACAGTTAGTAATGCCTGGAATATCTAAATCAGAAGAACTCCATGTGTGTAATTCAGAGAATAATCAACCTCTCTACTGATCCTAAAAAGCCAATTTCTGTTCCCCTGTCAAAGCTATGTCAGGATTTGAACCTGGAAGTTCTATATTATAAGCCAAAGCATGTTTTCATTTGATGAGACTGCTTTAAATTGAATTGATTTTATTTGGTGTCGGCAGAGCAGCTCAAAGACAATATAGCATGCCAACTGAGGTAGTCATGAATAGATACTCCTAAAGTTATTCAAAGGTGAAGCTGAAGAGGAGGTGTAAGAGCTCATGGGTAGCTTAAGACAAGGAAGTCTGGGTATGAGTCCAAGTTAAAAAGGAAGAAAATTCTCTTTGGAATTACTAGAATTACAAACAGGATCTTGGTTTTGGTGCAGCACTTGAAAGCATGCCATGGACTTTGTGGATACAAGTTTGAGAAAATGAGCATACCTTCTGCTTGTTCTTGGTTAACTGAAGGCAAATATTGCTTATCTAATGTATTTGCTACATATTATATAATGTTAATATTTATTATCTAATTATCAATTATGTCAAGTAATTACATGACTAATACTAGGTTTTTATTTTAAAACTTTGTTCGTAGGGTATTTGGTACTAGCATGGTTGAAGAGTATGAAGAAATAGCTGATTCTCAGTATCAGTCTGAACGACAAGAACTCTTTGATGAAGATTATGGTAAGCAAATAATTTCTGCATTTCTAGCCTTTCAGGCATGTCTTGTGCTAGCCTCATGGCTTGTCACTTCCTGCATATGATAAATTATTTGATTGTGAAATTTACTCTTAGTCTTGTTGATAGTATTTCAGCATTTCTGGCCTTATCCAACAATCATTCTAAGTTTTAAACTATCGTAACTATTTGGAGAGTTACTTTAAAATGCTAGTAAAAAAAAAAATCTCTATTTCACTTGGCAGGCTACGCAATATCTTCATGTGCTCACAGTAGTAAAGAATAACTAAAATAATAAAAGCAGCTTACACAAAACAGCTTTATTCTTAGGGTCCATAGGCCATTTCCTGAGACTGGTTGTATGATCAACGCTGCAAGCAATTGGGAAGGTGCTTACTTGGGCTTACAGACTTTGTGTTTAAATAAAAAATAAGTGAAAATGCCTGCCTGCAGCCCGTGTGAGGAGGAGGGGGAAGAACCTTTATACAAAGCTCAATGAGCTGTTTGCTGCATCTGTGTCATGAATCCTGGGGAACTGTGACGCTTGAACCCTGAATATCTTTGGGTTTCTCATTGTGTGGAGCTTGATGTTTCTGTATGTGATCTCTGACCTTTAACTTTATTTCTGTAGTTTTGTTTTCACGCTGTCAAACCAAAGTAGTTAAATGGCATGTTGAATCTTGAGGTTTATTTTCTTTGCCCATGACACATTTAATTTTGATAGTCATAAGTGTTCTTCTTTATACATAGATTATCTATTGGATTACAATACAGGGGAAGAAAAATCTTCAAAAAATCTTCTTGGTTCTGCTACAAGTGAGTATTGTTAGAAAAATTATTGCTGTGCTGAAACAAAATGAGGTAATAGAAAGTAGAACGACATTTTGTCATGCAACAGCTATGACTTATGTATTTTTCTGCTGAAACAACTTATTGTGATTCCTATTTAATTGCATGGGAATAAATAGTAACAGTTTGAAGTTGGCGTATCATTCGGAAAGTGTTCTAAGAATACAGCTTTCCAGCTCTAATGATCTCTATTTCTTGGAAACTTTGCTTTCTGTACTTAAGGATCCTGAGCACTTAAAATAATACGAATGTTACATAGGAACCAGTACTAAAGTGCTGTAGAACTGTAGCTATTCAGAACTTGGAAATCTGTGCTTATTCAAGCTGCCTTATTTTTAGGAGGCCATACAAAGATTTACTTTGTACAACTTGAAAGGAAGTAATGGAGAACACTTTCTGAGAAGGGTTTATGTAAATATTGTAGCTTCTATGTTCTTCATAAGACCTATATATTTTTTTTTGAGAGAGAACTGATGGTTCTTGACTGTCTCTTGTCACTTTTCCATTGGAAAACCTCAAGGTGTGGGGTTGGTTTGGCTGAGAATATTTGAATATTCAGTTTCAATGTTATTCTTAACTGCTGAATTATTTAGAATAGTATCAGTTGTCATATAGCTTCTTCTAAAGAGCTCTTACGCTGTACCACTCTTTTTTCTGTCCCAGGATTATTGCACAGTTTAGTGCACTTTTCAAAGGGGAAATAGTGGAAAAGACAGTTTATTTCTAAACATTAACCTCTCACAGATGAGAGAAAGCAGTATATTCTTCCCTGACACTGCTTATCCCTTACCTTTGACTTTTGAAGTTTCAATTTTCAAGCTGTCTTGATGAGGTGTATTCACATGTTCTGTCTGCAAGTGCTGTATTGCAAGCTTTTTTTGTTCGCTGTCTGAAAAATGAAGCGACTTTTCTATTGGTTGTTTTAGAGTACTAAAGCTAAGATTAAAAGATATGAAACACCTGTTACTGATAGTGCTATAGAAAGACAGCTGAGCACTGAAACATTGCAGTGATCATTATTTAGTTCTGGCTGGTGGATCTCATTGAGACCTTTCACTTGTGGCAGGGTAGTCAGAGTGTTTGAGTGTTGTTTTTTTGTGCTGGGTTTTTTATATGTGCATGCTTCGACAAATGTGATGGACTTCCATTTTGTGTTATTTCTCTTAAGTAGACAGTTATACAGTGAGGAAGAGGGTCCTCTGAGGAGCAGATAATGGGATTCTCAGACATTTGATCTCATAAGAAGTATTTTGCAGTCTTCTGCTAGTGTAACCTGTGGGGGCAGCTCACTGTTCTTCCCGCCTTTCTCCTAGACTTGGCAGGCTTCTATACCAACCCTTATTTCTCACTCTTTTTTTGGTTTCTCTATCAATAATAAGAAACCATTCATACTTCAAGTTTAACATCTTTTATTTATCATGACTTTTCAAAGAATGCAGCCCCAGATAAATAATGTAATTTGGGAATGTAGTTTCTGATGCATTTTGGAGGAAAGGCAGAACCAAGGTTTTGAACAGAGCTTCCTGGAGTCTAAGAAATTTATCATGGCTACTAAAATGCATCTCTAACTTCATGAACTTAACCATGTGACAAACAGTAGATGTATGTTGGGAGGGGGCGACGGAGAATTGGACTAAATTGGGCCAACTTTTGAGGGTTTATAATAAAGCGCTCTTTCCCTTTTTTCTTCTAAATAAACCTGGAAATGCTGTTTGTTTTCAATATTAAGACCAAAGAGTTAGATGTATCTAATGTATCTGCCAATATAGAACAGACCATCTTTGCATTTACTTCTGTGAATTTTTTTGGGGGAAACACTTTTCTACGTAACAAATCCTTAAAAAAAATATATATCTAAGCCAGATTTGTGGATATTTGTTACGGTTTCCTTCCAGTTGCCTTGACTAATCTAGATTGCATTCAAGTAACAGTTCGTAAAGTGTAGACTTTCTTCTTCAAATCTTAAAATATTTAGAATTTATGTTGCAGCGGTGTCAGCCAAAAGTAAGATTTGGGATTAAGGAGGGGAGGTATGATGCAAAATGAGAGTCCAGCTTAATTTGAATGAATCCGTAGTTTTCTGTGTCTGTCCTGCTGTGGACATCCTCTGTTCAAAGGCAGAATTCTTGTCTTGCTCATTTAGCAAATGACACTTCTTGACTCACTTCTTCAGTCCTATTACAACAAATGATCCAACCTGTCTTTATTAGACCTCCTCCAGACGCCTTTAGAGTGTTCAAGCTCTGAATTTCTGGCTTGGGACCTCCTTCAGTGGTTCACACACTCAGATTGTTAGAAAATTCCATGCTTAAATATTCTTCTGTTTGTCTTACTGTGCCCTAGTTTCAGTGGACTAACAATCAGTGAATACTTCTCACTGGTGTGAGAAAGTCTATCTGCTAAAGGCTAGATATGAGTTGTCAAATACAGGTTTCTACCTTACAAACTTACCCTTTAAAAGCAACAGATGCATCCAGTATAATAGAATGACCAGATTTTTTTTATGGCTTTATGCTGTGATTCGTTTCAAGCAAGTGTTACGAAATAGCATGTTGCTCAGTGGTGCTAATCTCGGGGCCCTCTGAATACGTCCTTTTTGATTAGCTGTTTTCTCTTTTAGATGCTATCTTAAGTATGGTGAATATTGCTGCTAATATGCTTGGAGCCAAAACTGAAGAGTCGTCTGAAGTTGAAGGTATTTTTTTTAAGATTAAAAGTATTCTGGAAAGTTTTAATTTGGTTTTGTTTTGTTTAATTTTTTTGTGTGGAGTTGGATGATGTATGTGTAAATGACTCTTTTCACCTTTTATGGCATACCTGATTGGTGCTATGGAATTCTGTTCTACTTTTCACAGTCAGTAGGATAAAAGAATGCTGAACTTGCTGGGAAGGGAACCCATACAAAGTTAACATTTGTTTGTTCAGCTACGTTGGGAGAACTTTACTTTGTGTATTGCCCAGCTTCAGCTGTAAAGTCTTAACTTGCTGCTTCTTCCTGGAAATACTTTGAGAATCTCCATAACATTGTATGCATAAACTGTCAGTAGCACTTTTCATTCAAATAACTTTGTCTGCAGTTGATTTGGTATGGCAGTTAATAGTCTAAAAAAAACCACCCCAAGAATGCCCCAAAATTCATTGAAAACAAACATGGTTCTTGAATTCTTGTGTTCATTTTTTTCTCTTCCCTTCAGCAGGGAACAAAAGCGTGTCTGAAAATGTCACTTCTGCCCCTGCAACTTCAACAGCTGCACCAAGACTGCCTGAACCAACTCCTGTTCCTTCACCAGAGTAAGTGATTGGTGTAGGATTTTTTTTTTCGGTGTGTTCGTAGCAGAAACTAAGATGAACCAGTCTGGAATCTTTGGTAGTAGAATGCTTAGATATGGCGTGCTGCCTTAATGAAGTAAAAAGGCAAGTATTTGGTGAAATCTGTAGTATGGTAATGTACTTACCGGAGAAATTAGTCACTTTAGTTACTGTTTATAGCCATTTTACATTATGATATGTTTTGTTTTAACACTTGACTAAATGTCAAAATGCATCACTAACTTTTTCAATTGTTTATATTACTTGGTTTAGAAGAAGTAGGAGTGTTTTGCTGTTGACTATTGCAGATTTCTTGGGTGGAAACTGACTTAATATTATTCCAGGTTTTGCAGGTTGTCTCCTGCAAGGGAGACTAATTTGGAATGTAAGTTGTATTGTTGAAGCTTCAGTTAAATTGTATTGAAAAAAAATTTTATGCTAGAAGCTTACGTTTTTTACTAGGCTTTCCTTGACGAAAATACGTATGCAAAGATAGGGAATTAGGTTAGGAGGAGTTGTATATAGATGTTCTATGGGGTTTATTTCAGTTGATTACAATTGACCCCACCTGGAGTACTGCATCCAGCGCTGGAGTCCCCAACATAAGAAGGACATGGATCTGTTGAAGCACATCTAGAGGAGGGCCACAAGTATGATCCGAGGGCTGGAGCACCTCTCCTATGAGGAGAGGCTGAGAGAGTTGGGGCTGTTCAGCCTGGAGAAGAGAAGGCTCTGGGGAGACCTTATAGCGGCTTTCCAGTACCTAAAGGGGGCCTACAGGAGAGCTGGGGAAGGACTTTTTACTAGGGCACGTAGTGATAGGATGAGGGGGAATAGCCTCAAACTAGAAGAAGGTATGTTTAGATTAGATATTAGGAAGAAATTTTTCACTTTGAGGGTGGTGAGGCACTGGAACAGGTTGGTCAGAGACGTTGTTGAGGCCCCATCCCTGGAGGTGTTTAAGGCCAGGCTGGATGTGGACTTGAGCAACCTGGTCTAGTGGGCGGTGTCCCTGCTCATGGCAGGGGGCTTGGAACTCGATGATCTTCAAGGTCCCTTCCAACTCAAACAATTCTATGATTCTAAAACCACCAGAGGAAGTTCTAACTTACAGAATTTCTGACTGTGTCCAAACTGGCTTTTGGTCACTGGAATAAGCTTAGCTAATTTTCTAAAAGATCCTACTTTTTCAATCTTCCAGAGTAGGCATGTAAAACTGTTGAAGTAACATCCCGTCTTGACTCTTTCATTGTAGACTTGTTACTACAGATATTCCACAGATAGATAAAGAGCAAGCAATTGTGGATTTGACAAAAGAAAGTCCTATTGTTCAGCTAGTACAAGAGTATGAAGAAGATACAAGCCAGTCAACAGTAACCTTGCTGCCCAGTGATGATCAGGAGGAAGAAGCATCCGCATGGTTTGAACTTGAGACAGAAAAGTACTGCTATGACATGGCAACAGCATGTTGTATTTCCACCTTTTCAGAATATCTGTTTAAATGGTGTTCAGTTGCAGTAGCCATGCATCGGCAGCGTAGTAAAACTGAAGGTAAACAGAGGCAAGATTACTCTGCTGATGTTCAGCAGCCACAAACGGATCTGACCGAATCTGTACATATGTCAATAGAAGAGCCTCTGCCTGAGCAGTTAGACAACAAAGTTGAGAGACCATCTGGATCTACTGTTGCAGTTGACTTCAGCAGTGTGGTTCATGAGGAGATCGGTAATGAAACCACAGATTTGATTGAACTGGAGCCAAGCCATCCTCAAACTGTCTCTCAATCCCTCCTCTTAGAAGTTACTTCTGAAGTTAAGCCATTGCCAACAACAGACATGGTGTTGCAGCCTGCAAAAGGAGATGCAGGCCAGGTAGCACCGAGGGTGACTTCCCAGGTGGATATAACTGAGATCAGTACAGAAATAGAAAAGGCTGAGAGTTCTATTGCAGAAGAAAAGCCTGTAGCTTCCGAGACCATTGTGGCCACCGAGGTAAAAGAGATGAGCACAAGAGAGGCTATTGCTACTCCAGTGATTTCAAAGCTTCCAGAGACTGTTCTGCAGCCTGAATATACAGTGGGCACGTTAGCCGGTGATGCTGAGGAAGGAAAGGAAAGCACTCCAGAAGTGCAGAAACCTGTTTTGCCTCCTATTGAGTCTTCTGTATCTGCCGAAACAAAGGATGATGATCAGGCAACTGAAGAAGCTTTAATGGCGATTCCGGTCTCTGGGGGACCGCAGAGAACAGCTACAGACTTCTATGCCGAATTGCAGAATTCAACGGATCTAGGCTATGCTAATGGAAATCTTGTTCATGGATCTAATCAAAAGGAGTCTGTCTTCATGCGCCTTAATAATCGCATAAAGGCCCTGGAAGTAAACATGTCTCTCAGCAGCCGTTATTTAGAAGAACTTAGTCAGAGGTAAGTCTGAGGAAGACTGGTAAGAGTCTACCAGATGTAAACGTGATTTTAGCCAACTATACAAAAAACCATACACATACAGAAGGTAATGCAGTGGAAGCTGAGTATAATCTAAATCATAGCATAAAGCTTTATGGAAAATAGAGTAAAGTACATAATCCTAGGTATCTTACTGGAGACCTAGATGTCTGTGGGTGGCAAGGGTTCCCATTTCTGTATTTCAGATACAATTATGCTGTGTGTTTTCTTTGAGGATTATTGCTGTGGGGTTTTTTTAAAAGGATAAAGTGTTGCCAGGATGTAAGCGCTAATCCCATCCATAATCCTTTCAACAAAAGGGCGCATCCGCCTGTTGCTGTAAAACTGAACAACGCAGCCCTGCAGTGCCTTCTTTACTGAACTGATTGTTTCCACTTAAATTACTGTTATCTGTAATAACTCTTGTTGAAGAAGGGAGCATGGAGAGGGAACCCAGAATTTTCCGAGGGATGTATGTAAATTAATCTTTATCTGTGATGCTCCTTAGCCGTAGGAGAATCAGGGAAATCATACTGACTTCAGAACTGGTTCCAAAGAAGGGGCTCTTTGTTATATTTACTGTTGTGTTTCTCTTGGCAGTCAGTATTTTGTAGAGAATTTTCCACAGTGAATTCTAGTCAACTGGTGCTAAGCTTTAAGGTATTGAGATAGATTTGACTTTAACCTTGGAAAAAACCCCACAAAAACCCCAGGAAGAGACACATCCCTGTTTTATGTTTGAAACTTAAATGGAAACAAATACCACTTGACGTTTAAATAAAACTTCTTTAGACAAAGAGAAGCTTTCCCTTTGCATAGTGGTATTTCCTAAAGACAAATCTAGTGCTAGGAGTTATATGAACTGGAATTTCAGAACTTTACACTCTGTTTTAGGTACCGAAAGCAAATGGAAGAAATGCAGAAGGCTTTCAATAAAACAATAATAAAACTTCAGAACACCTCAAGAATAGCAGAAGAGCAGGTATGTTTTTCTGGAGTACTAAAGTGTTTTTGTGTTTAGGAAAGTTTACTTTTAAGAAAGAGTTGCAAGGAGGTGCAGAAATTCTTTCAATTGAAGATTTTTGTTAGCTGCATATCTGCCTTTTAAAAGCAACTCCATTCTGTGCTTCACTTCTTTTTTTCTTTTTTTCCCCTTTGTAATAAATCTTTAGGTATGTTCCCAGTTGTTTTAGAATAAAGCTATTTTCAGGTCTCTCTTCCTGATTTTTGCATTGAAGAAAAAAAATCAGTTGTCAGCTGGTAACAGCTAAAACTCTTAAATGTCTTTTCAATGAAAAGTTATCCAGGTCTCTTCCAACTCCTTGTTTCTTGGTTGTAGCTGCACTCAAAACCATTTTTTTTAACTTTGTTTTTAATCTCTGACTTGAAGTATGGTTAGTCAATTGCCCTAATACTGCTGACAAGACCTAGCCTCTAGAAAGGGAGAGGGGTACAGTAACAAGTTATGCCAAATTTGCATTTGAAAGCGTAGTGCATGTAACAAAAGCTTTAGTTCATTCTTTAAAATGTGATTTAAGGAAGTGGGAGCGGAAGGAGGTTTTCCCTGATCTGCCATCCTAGCTTTCCTGAGCAGCTGTGAAATATAACATTAACTGCAGTGCTGTGTAATCACTAAAGCAACTATGCACGTGGCATAGCAGGCTTAATCCCAAACTATCTGAAAACTTCTGAAGTGCAGTCCCCGGCCTGTAGTTTGTTCATCCATCAACAGTGAAGAAAATCGCAACTTTCCTGAGATCATATGCGTACTCTTTTCTGCTTTTCTTGAATAATATCAAAAGCTGGTCAGTTTGAGCTGCTCCTTTGGGTTAACCTCCCCAATATTCTGCTCACCTTTCTTAATTTCTTGTAGGATTAAGAATCCTCTTAGGGCTCTTTCCAGGAAGATGATAGCTGTAAAGTTCTTGTTCCTGGCTGGCTTGGGCTTGTGTCCTTAAGTGGCTGGCTACCTGGTCCCAGAGCAGAAGCTATGCATCAGCCATTAGACTTTAGCGCTGCGTGGTCACCTGCATGTGTATTTTGTAACATGACAGTACTCAACTTCCTGATAGCCATTGCATGGTGCTGGCTACTTAATCTGCCTTTAATGAAGATAGCAGAAGTCACTGTAATGAAATGCACTTGGCATAATGTTACAAAACGTTATTTGATAAGTAAAAATGTTGATGTTTTTATGTGTGTATATGACTAATGCTGCTTAAGCAGTTTCAAATGTTATATGAATGTTGTGTTGAAAACAATGTTGACTAGGTCATGTGGCTGCAAAATGCCTGGCTGTCTCGGATAGAATGCTAACTTGGTACATGTGAGAGTATATGATATTGGGTACATGACGACTAAATAGCACGGCCATGACTCTCTTTAATACAGGATCAGCGGCAAACAGAAGCAATCCAGCTGTTACAAGCACAGCTCACCAACATGACGCAGCTAGTTTCCAATCTGTCAACAACTGTGGCGGAATTAAAACGTGAGGTAATTATAGTTCAGCAGTGTGGCACAAGAACTCAAAGGAAACAGATGCATAAACATATCTTAATTTGAAGAAGCCTGGAGTCTTTAAATGAAGCTTTTCATTTGAGAAGTTGTCTGTGGTGTTGCTTTCAGCCTACTTTAGCAGCTGGCCAAGGGAGGGAAGGAAAGTTTGAGTAGCTTGAGCTGTCTTGGGCATAGCAAGATTGTAATAATTTCTACTACAGCCCTGTTAGCCCCATGATTGTGGTCTTGTCCTGGTTTGAGGACAAGTCTGAGCTAACGATAAAGGTAAAACTTAGTTGGAATAACTTAGTATCTCAGCCTTCTTGTAGTGCGTGGGAATTGATGTTGTTCTATGAAATGATTCTTAATGAGATTAGAAGAGTAACCACTGACTTTGAAATGGCAGTAATGGGGTTTGTAGCACCTACAGCATGTTGGACGTGTGTCAGAGGGAATGGTGAAGTTCATGCTTCAAGGACTTTTCTGGCACTTGCTGTGTTATATAACCAGTTGCATTGCATGGCTTTGTTACACAACTTCAGTAAAATGGGATGCTTTGCAGTGTCTGGCACTTATGTTGTCCACTTAAGTATTAAGACTCTTGCCATAGGAGGCTTAGTGCGCAAGAGCGTACTGGCCACTGTTAGAACTGGGCTGTAATAACAAACGAGTACATGGAGGGTTGCACTCTTAGCTACTGAATGGCAGGCTCACATGGCTAAGACACCCTTCTTTCCCCTCTGGCTGTTGTGATCTTTCAGGATTAGGGGAATCTTGGCAACAGTATTAGGAACACATTCTCTCAAATGTTTATGTTCTCCAGCCTTGGATTTCAAACAGTAACATAAACATGACCTTTTTTTGTGAGCATGTTGCCAAAGATATCTCTTGAACTGTTTTCTAACACTCAGTGAGACTCCTTCTTTGATGCCTGGCTGGCTAAGCTGCTGTTCATGGGTGCTGTTGTTTTAACCAGGACTTGACAGTGGTGATCATCAGGGTATGTTAGATGAGTATCCTGGAATTTGAACACGTGGCTTTCCCTGAACTCAACTCTGGTCACCCGAGACTATAAGTCTGAGAGACTTGCTCATTACGAAATGGGAAGTAGTGTTCCTTGTCTTTTCTGAAGTCATTGTATGACTTCTAAGATCTTGGTGTGTTTAAGATTTTTTTTATGGGAAAACTGTGCAATTCACTTTTTTAAACATTATCTGGAAAATACCCTTGGATTTCAGCTTCCATGTAATTCTAGTAAGCTTCATCTGCCAGTCTTCAGAAATGAACATACTAGGAAAAAATCCTTCTTCTCAGTTGTGAAATGGAAGAATATTCAGAAAGATGAAACTCACTGAATCAAGTGAATATAATTGTATTTATGCTGTGAAGTACTGCAATGTCAGCTGATGAAAAGCATCACATAAAATTGAGATAGTAGTATATCCATGTCAACTGTAAAACAGAAGTTACTTGCTTATACACTTTCTGAAAGTAATATACTTTCCGTAAGATAGGTTTGAAAGCTATTTGCAAGGAGCAGCTGCTTCTTTAAGTTATGGTAGTACCATAGTCAGTGACATCTTGTCCTGTGTTACCAGCTAGTGATTTTCAGCCTTCACTCCTTGAGTGCTGTGTAGCCAACAGACTACATCGAACCTATGAAAAAATACTCAAATTTGAACATGTGTTTAGTGAAATTGAAGGAAAGTAACTTGAAAACATGTCAGTTGTGTTCTTTTAAAGAAATTAACCTTTAAAACAAGAGAGTAATAGTATCATTAAATTATTCTTTGTCTTTAACAACTATAACAAATTCTTCCAGGTTTCTGATCGACAAACCTACCTTGTGATTTCGCTGGTACTGTGTGTCATTCTGGGCTTGGTGCTTTGTGTGCAGCGGTGCAGAAGCACATCTCAGTTCTGTGAAGATTACCTCTCAAAAATTCCCAAAAGTAATCACTACCCTAGCCCCAAAAGGTAATGTATTTGTATTTGAAACTAGATTGTTCTTGCAGCTTTTATTTGATGTTTCCAAAATCTGCTGGGACTGGCACATCTGCTTTAATTTTGAGTTTTCTTTCTGCAAACTCCAAATTGCTAGCTAAGAGCCATTACTGCTCTGTAGTAACACTCTCCTAGGAGCATTTTGGGGCTACTACTCTTAACATGCCTTGATAGCTTTTTGGCAAAGACAGTACTGTGTCTGTTTGCCAGGCTTTCTTGGCACCTGAGTGAATGACTGATTTGGTTCTTCTGCCAAAGGTGTTTTTTAATAGAAAAATGTGTATGACAAAGTCCTGAGAAAAATGTGTTTAAAAAAGCTTTGATTTTTTTTATTATTCCACCCCAGATGTTTTTCCTCCTATGATGATATGAATTTGAAAAGAAGAACTTCTCTTCCACTGGTCAGATCACAGTCTTTTCAGCTAGCTGGTAAAGAAGGTATTATTCAAATATGATACATCTAGTCTCTAGTGTTACTCTATTAGTGCCATACAATGTGCGTATTACTGTGAGTGTATGAAAATGTAATCGCAGGTTAATATCAAAGTACGCTGGATTTTCATAGTTCACGTATACGTTCTGTAGGACTGGGTGCTTCATGAACAAGTCACCAGACACTCAGAGAACTGTGCTAAATTACGCTAAAACGTTGAATGTAGTCTTTGCATTTGTAGAGTATAAACAATAGTGGTTTTGGGGTTATAGCAGTCCATGCAGGCATTCAGGTCTGCAAAGCTATAAAGCTTGCGGAAAGTGGTATTTATTTTTTTAATACTATATGTGGGAAGTCTGAATGCCCTACTTCGGAGAAGTCCTGCTAGCCTGTCTTTGAAACTTGGCAGATATTTAGGATCAAAACTTACCACTTATAGTAAGAAAATTTGGACTATTATCTTGGTTTGGGTATAAGGAGTGATAGGTCTTTTCCGTATTTGTGTTACACTTGGGACAACTGAGTTTTGATTTCTTAGGCCATCATAATCACACAAAAACAAAAGTGCAGATTATAATAACTACTAAGTATGCAGCTGACATGGCTTTTCTGGGTGCAGCAAACTTGCTTCACAGGTTTTTGTACTGTGAGCAAAACTGCATGGAAACTCATGAGTCTCTATTGTAACATGTTCCCAATTCGACTATTTTAGGCATAGACCTACGTTTTTGCAAAACCACTCTTTTTCTGAATTCTCCCCTGCTTTGCCTTGGAAGAATGATTTACAAAGCCCTAATGGAGGAATGCCAGACTGGTCTCATGTCAGTCTGAACATGTGCTTCCTTGATAGCTACACATGCTTCTAGTATCTGTCCTGTCCTGGGCAGGCTGCACATTGAACACCATTATATTGGTAATAGTTTGTTTTTGTAGAAGCTAACTTCTATTGACTCTTGTTCCTTTCCCCCTAAACTCTGCACCTCTCCTATGGCCTCATCTATCAGGAGGTCAAGTGTGTATCACTGACAGCTGCCATGGCAGCACAGAGGAATTTCTTAGTGTTGGCTTCATTTTCAGCGTTCCGTGGTTGTACCTCCATTAACTTATCGCACAGTTTTGCTCCTGTTACAAGTGGAATATTTTGTCGTGCTGTTATTTATTTAGAATTGTGGTGTTCTAGAGCTGGCAGTGTCAGGACTGCTAAATTTGTGTTCCCTCTCTTACAGTGGATCCAGAGGACCTGTACATTGTAGAACCCCTGAAGTTTTCCCCAGAGAAGAAGGTACAGTGGCTGTAGGGAAGGCAGTCTGAGCTGAGCATGTTTCTGCCGGCAGGTGGTGCATGTCTCAGCTGCTCTCCCTGAGCCGGTTCCTAGGCTTAGTTTTTAAGCTCTGGTTGCCTTCCAGAACCTAACAGTTTCTCTTTTTACTTGTGGTTTCAGAAAAAGCGTTGTAAATACAAAAGTGAAAAAATAGAGACTATTAAGCTGACAACAGAGCCTCTGCATCCAATAGCCAATGGGGAAATTAAAGGAAGGAAGCCGTTTACGAACCAGAGGGACTTCTCTAACATTGGGGAAGTTTATCACTCTTCGTATAAGGGTCCTCCATCCGAAGGAAGCTCTGAAACGTCATCGCAGTCTGAGGAGTCCTATTTTTGTGGCATTTCAGCGTGTACAAGTCTGTGCAATGGACAGACCCAAAAGACAAAAACTGAGAAGAGGGCTATAAAACGAAGACGGTCTAAAGTTTCAGACCAAGGGAAGTTCATAAAAACTCTAATACAGACTAAGTCAGGGTCAATGCCAAGCCTGCATGACATAATCAAAGGAAACAAAGATATAACAGTGGGAACACTTGGTGTCACGGCAGTTTCTGGACACATCTAAAACTAGCTGAACTTCTCAAACAGGAGAGTGTTTGTTCGTTTGAGAACAGTCTGTGGTATTCTGTGGGAGGATAGTGGGAGACGAAGAGCTCAACTAATTGGAAAGTATTCAGAAATTTGGTTTCTGCCTTTTTAAAAAGATGGGATTGTGTCAATCTTGGCTATAAGCTGCAGCTTTACAAGGCTGATAATTTCCTATAAGAACAGCTTGGGGGGAGGGAGGGCAGGGTTCATTTTATAAAGGTTTTTTTTCACAGTTCCTGGGACAGATTTTTTGAAACCCAGTTTGTTGGGTGGAATAGGGATAAAAGCCTAATCCTCTTCCTTTAGCTTTGTTCCTATTTCTTGCACCTTCCCATATTTATGTGCCTTTTGTCTATTTATAATGCCACTGGAAGAGGGGAGATACAATTGTTTGTCATTTGATTTATTTTGTAATTTCTCTAGCTTTTTTTGAAGATGCAACACTACAGTGCTGTAAAGGGACATGTGTTGGCCTTCAGCTGGACTCAGTAATGTGGACTGGATACTGTAAAAATACTAATAGATGGACTTGCCTGACTAGATTCTGGTTTTGCAAACTCGGTTGACGAAAATGTCTCACCTAGGGGTGGTAATCATGTTTATTTCCACCTTCAGTTACAAATCAGAGTTGTAGTCTGATGTACTAAATGAATGACAGTTGCTCTTTAGGATTTCCTGTGTACGATGGGATCTTAGGCTGGTGAATGCATTTGTTATCTAAATTGCCTGCTGTAGTTCTCTGAAGGAAGTGAATGGGGAACTCTCATGGCTTCTGCGCTGAGAGTTCAGGAGAAGGCCTGGCTGAAGAATGCGAGGGCGAGCTGGTGCAGCTGGGCCGCTCTCCGAGCCAGCTCCGCATGCGTTGAGTTTGCAAAGCCTTGAAGTCTGAGCAGTCAGGCTGGTTCAAAGTGGGTGTTTCCATAATGTTTGCTTTTGTATTGGCTAACAAATGTGCAGTGTTTGTATGGTTGGTATTTTCATATCCAAGTGTTTTTTATTTTGACTGTGACTGTATATTTGGATATTATAGGATGTGTGATTGCTAGAATGTTGAGTGTGTATCTGAGTGAGTGGAACAAAAGGTTATTCCTTTTGGCAGGTGTTACAGGTTCACGTTGTAAAAAATAAGTTAACTTATTGAGCACTTTTAGTGGTACCCTTTTTAACAGATCTAATGCCTTTCCTGGGTATTGTATGTAATGTGACTTATTTAAAGCCTTTGGTTTTTTTGCTGCTTTCTTGTTAGTTTATGAATACTTTAAGGTGATGTACTTTTGGAGTTGATCTGCACAATTAGCCAGTCAGAGCACATGAACCAGACATGTTGAACGTGACTTCAGAAGGGTTTTAAACCTGGGTGAGGAAAATACATACCATCTGAGTGCAGCATACAATGTTGTGGAACAAGAGTATGTAACTACAGACCTGTAGTGCCATTAGAAACTGTGAATTTCCAAATAAATCTGAACACTTTGTCTTTAATTTACTGGCATTTTTCCTTTGAAAATGAAACTTGCGGCTTGAATTTTTTGAGAAGGACTAGTCTTTAAATTTCAGTGTAGGAGTGGGACTGGGGTTCTTTGGGCCATACTAAGGAGTTCATAAACTTATTCGTCAGCCTAGATGTGTTTGTGTATTTAAAAAAGGGGGGTGGGGGGAGGGAAACTGAAGTGGTGCTTTCTCTGAAAGTTCAGGAATTGTGGCCATGTAAAACTGCTAGAAAAGTTTCCAACAGGTCTCAGTTCGTGTCTTGAAGTGGTCGATTTTTGTGAGAATGACTGCATGAAATTACCTTTTGTTACTCAGAGCTGAGGTTTGTGAAGGATATAAAAGTCCTTTAAAAGAAAATGTTGTATAGTAACTTATCATTTCAAACTGGAGTTTTCAACTTGAAGTTTGCCCCTTACTGGTCCCTTCCTTCTAATTTATTTCTAGCAAGGATAGCAGCGCTGCATGCAGCCAAATGCCAAAATCACCAGCTGTCCAGGATCTACTGTTGCCAACTGAGACCTCTCCAGCACAAATATCTCACTTGAGTGTCTCGAGACTCTCCACTTCATCATAGGGAGCGCTATGATTTAAAAATCAATTGTGTGGTGTTTGCTGGGGGGTGGCGGGGTGGTTTTTGGGTTTGTGTTTTTCTTGTGCACGTTTTTTTTAATTTACTGGCCTTCCTCGTGATACATTGCTTGTAGGAAGTGTGCTTTGCTGTACTGCCCTGGCAATCACTGAGATGTTCTTCTTGTTAATAAGAATCAGCTGAAGCTGGACATGACTGAATTCTTAAAAGAACTCATCATCGCTGTCTGGCTATAAACCAAAGACTGACAGACCTAGAATATGCTGATAGATGTAAAATGAGGCCAAATGAGTTGTGATGCAATATACAGGCAACAAATGTGTCTCTAATGGGGGGAGATTTTTGCTTTGTTCCAGCTGGCCTGTAAGCATTGGATAAAAGCAAATTTGGTTGTGAAACTGAAGTTAGACCAAAGATGGGGGTGTTCATATGTATTTATCAACTATAGAGTGTGAGCATATAACTCTGGGGCAAGGAGAGCTGCCTTTACTGGAAGCAGTGGTTCTGTGGATGGCCAGAAACTTTCCTCCTCATCCTTTTCTGGTTTGCTGTAAGGGACAGCTGCTTACTTTGTCCTGCGTACATTTGCTTCCTAGACTGGATTACCCCAAAACACTGGTGAGCAATCCTGGAAGATCACTTGGGAATTACAGTTGAATTAGCAGCACTTCTCAGTGCTTCCTTATGCAAGGGGAGTGTATTGTTTGTTTAATAAGTATATATGTGTACATCCCCATTCTCTCTTGGGAAGGTGATACTTAGCCTCAGACTGAAATCCTTTTTTGCTGGTGCTCTTCTGCTGATACGATCTATTTTATACCTTAGATGTTTGTAAATCTGAGTAGGTTGTGCATGCTTAACTTCCAAGCACGTGTTCAAATTTCCAAGTTAACAATTTCAGATGTGAAACTAATGCCTTATAAAAGTCTTTTAATGTACTGCGCACTCTATAGATTTTAAAAATTGGGCATGACTTAAATCTCGGGAGTTGCTGCATTCTGTGGAAAAATATCAGTGATAAGGCTTGACATGTAATGAACATGTAGGAAACGTGCTATGGGAATAACACATCCTGAATGGACAGAGCAGAGCTCTGTGGTGAAAATACGGCTTGAAGCCACATGGCTTCAAATTCCCACTGGAGATGTGGCAGATGCCATATGTGGTCGATAACACAGGGCCAGAAACTCTTCTCACTCAGGCTCTCATGAGTTCTCAAGACTGTTTTGAGAATACCTGACAGCATTTCCACTTCTGGAAGTGTACCCCCAAATCAAGGTACAATATAAATGATGTCATGGGCTGTGGAGGTTCACTTTCCTGAAAGCTACTTATTCCTAAGACGTGCTGCCTCTGGGCTCTGAGCCAACAGGAGCTTGAGTGAATTCAGCTGGTGTGATGGGGAGCAAGGGTGTTGTGCATGGTGCAGGCTTTCCTAGTATTTTAAGTCTCTGGCTAGCAGAAACTTGGGTCATAATGGTGAAAAATTCTCAGCCTAGGTTTTTTTTGGTGCTGGATGAGGGCAGATGGCGGTTAGCACCAATGACTCCTGTGAATAAAGCGCATCTATCATAGAGTCACTGCTGACGCGTGTCAGCCAGGAGCAACTTTCACATTCTCCGAAGTACGCTACCTAACCATTTCGACTAGGTCTAAACTTTCCAATCAAAGCATAGGTTGTGCTTGAGCCGCTGAGAAAGCCAGAATCTGAAGGAACCTACAGAGCTGATTGATATATTGCAGACTCGAGAGTTTGTTCTGGCAGTAGACTGGAGATTGAACCACAGCTTCCGTCTGCTGCTGCCTTGCTGCTTTTAATTACTTATAACCACTTTTTTTTTTAAAAAAAAAGTCTCATAATGTCAAGTTCTTATTGCTTAATGTTATCCTTTCATGTGGGCTCTTGAGTCATTTTTTTACTTCCAGTTTTATTAATGTCACACTGACTCTAACTTTCAAAACTTGATTCTTTGGTGAAATCAAGTCCCTCTTATATATGTCATAATCTTTATATAGAGATAATTGTTTCTAACGAAGACAGCTTCTAAGTCTTGACGAGTTCCTGTGGTGTTGTGGGTACTTCAAGGGAGGGCCTAGTCTGTCTTATGATATTGCATAATGAAGTTGGACAGTTCTTGGTGGAAAATACCAAGAAACCAGCATGCGTGTGCAGTAGTGAGGACTGCATCCTTGTGGTCCTTGAGCAGGTCTTGAGCCCAAGATCAAAAAATATTTAAGCAATGCAAATGTTTCTATGGGAAGATGGGTAGTCACAAACATATGCATTGTATAAGTGAATTACTACCCATGTCTGCCAAAATAAGGTGTCTAGGTTATATACATTAAGCATCAGAGTGGAAATCCAGTATTTTTATAATATGCAAACTCTACCAGCTTGTGGTATTGGTAAGTAGAGAACTAAAGTATAAGGTGTCTTTGTGTGGCTTCTGCTTTTGCCAGCTTGCAGTGCGAGATGGAACAAGATGGAACAGCTTAGCGTGCTTCATTTAATTAGGTACAAATATGTTCCACTTAATTTGGAACAATTAAAGTGGAGAGCCCAGACCACAAAGTGTTGTGGGTAGGCCATCAAGCAGTGCGTGTCTCATCTGGAAACCCTGAGTGTCAAACAGTATCAGGTACTGCTGAAGAAATTACGGGGGTTTGTAACAGATCGAGAAGAATTTGGTGTTCCCAGAACTTGTTTAGTGTTAGTTCAGGAAAGGATAGTGAAACTCATGAATCTTTCTTACGTATCCCTTCTCTAATTAAGAGTAACTCTAAAAGAAGCTACCAAGGAGCTTTCTGCTGCCTTACTGCTGTCTCATATTGGACACACGGACTGGGAGCTACAACTGGTCTTGCTTGTGCTGCTTTTCATTAGAGACGCTAATTAAGTCACAGATTAGAGGTATGCCTTTTGGTAGGGAATGGAGATGACGTTAACTGCACTTTGTGGACCTAGAAATGGGAATTCGTTTGCCATCTTGAGGCTTGTTTTTCCTTTGTTAGATGTGGCAGCTTGAGCTTACGTCCAGCTGTGGGGCCCTCTGTGAACTCGCAGCAAACAAGAATCCTTGCCTGTGATTTTATTTTTTTTTTCCAGAAAAATAACTTGAGGCAACTAATGAATATCTTTTATTAGTCATACTACACACACTTAGTGCTGAAATGTCAATGTTGCGTGCATTGTCTGTGAAACCACCTGTAGCTCAAAGTTAAATCCCAGGAAACTCAGCTGAAGGTCCCTCACTGTTTTGGGAAGTCAGATGATGTGGGTCACTGGTGTTTGTGTAACAAGATGGGCACATCTGGTGTATGGTTCTCCGTATGCCAAACTGATTCCAGAGGGCCTGAATTTGCTCAGTGACGCAGAGCTGATGTGTGATCCTGGTGGAACCTCAGTAAAGATCTCAATATAGATCTGGGCGGGGGTGTGAGGTGTGGGGGGTGTTGTTTGTGTGTGTTTGGGTTTTTTTGTTGGTTGGTTTGGTTTAGGTTGTTTTATTTTCTTTATGGGTTGACAATGACTGCTCCCAAGAAGGAATAAAATTGTCAAATACTGACAAGACCCCACTGTCCAGCAGAGCCAGCTGGTGTCTTTCAGGGCCGAGGTTGGCTTTGTGCTGGACAATGCAGTTGAATGCAGTTCTCGGCCGTCACTGGGAGGACGGGAAA